TGATTAACAAAACACTTATATTGATTTTTTTAATTAAGTCAAACAGTTAATAGTGATCAAATAAGTGATTATTGATTAATAAGCTAATTAATATTTTACCAAGCATGACCTATATGTTCAAACTCAAGTTAATTTAACGGTTTATTACTACTGCTATAAAGATTAGTGGAAAATGTAAATTGTAAGAGATGTCTCACTAAACTTATTATAAGAGTCCAAATTACAATCAGGATGACATCATAGGTGATTACAATTAAAGGATTTTGTGCAAATTTAATCGATCAAAATTCGACGAAGGTTTACATGTTAGGGCTGCAAAAAGGTGTTTCAAAGCCAAAAAGTTTAAACTTTCTTAGAATTTAAAATTTGAAAAATTATTAACAGGTTTGTTGTAATCTTTGACTTAGGAAAATTTGGATCAATGAAATCTAATTCTATGAATGTAAATTCTACTTAAGAGAGGTGAATTCTTTTTTTCAAGTGACTGGAAATTTATCAAATTTATTAAATTACGTATTTATAATTTTTTGTATCAAGTTAAAAGTCTCTTATACGACAGAGGACTAAATTAGTACTAACTCATACCTTATATTGGTGCTCTTTTTTAATACTTACATTATTTTTTGAAACATATACTTACATTATTATTTTTATATATCTAATTTTTTTATGCAACTACAATATTATTTTTATATAGTAATATGCACACAATATAATTTGGCATCAAGATACACAGCTACATGTGGCAAATGGGTTGGGCTGGATTGATTTAGCCTGTTGTAGAAGCTGCCCACATTGTTCATAGGTTGTGACACTATAATGGGATGGGCTAGCTTGGTCGTATATATACTTGTATAGTAACTAATAAGGCCCAAGCTTTTATATATATATATATATATATATATATATATATATATATATATATATATATATATATATATAGGCAGGAAAAATTATAAACAAATCTCATCCTTACATCTGTAAAAATTCTAAAGTTCTGATCATATTAAAAAATACGGTGATGTTTTCGTAATTATCATCAACTTCACTATACAATTTTGAATACTTAAATAAGCAATCTTTAACAACTAAATATGCAAACATGGTAAATTTTATAAAATCAATAAAAAAAACTAAATTTTAAATCTAAACTGTAAATGTTAGGTGCTAAGCAGTAAAAAGTGAATCACTAAACCAAATAAAACAAAAAACGCAATCATAAATTCTAAAATCGAAACCTAAGTGCAATGTACTTTCGTATTTTTACAAGTGCAATCTTTTATTACTAAATGTGCAAAATGTTAGTACTAAATGTGCAAACCTGAAAAATTCTGAAAAGTGTAAATTTTAGTGTTAAAATCACACACACACACGCACGCACGCACACACTCGCTTTTAACAACATCAATACAAATGAATCTCTTAAGTTGAAAATTAAAGTATTCTCATAATATCAAATTAATTGTTTGTTACCATTGCTATACAAAACAATTTTCTCAATTTTTTTTTTGAACAAATCTATCTTGAAAATACAAAAAAAAAAAAAAAAATCATAATTATAAAAATTAGTATTCAATATAATTGATCATAAGCATCCACATTATAGGAGAAACACGTACACATTATTTATGGCACACAACTCAATTACAAATATACCAAAGTAGAAAAGAGACATACTAATAAGTACTAAATCCTACGTTGAATTAACAAATACTAAGTACAACCTGAATAAATGTGAGTGTTTATTTCATTTCTTTTTATTCCTTAATGATTATATTGAAATATTTTTCAATTTTGATCATCTCCATTTCTTGAACATTAAAAAATGTTATACTTTTAACCTAAAAATACTCTCACTTTATAATTTTTCGCCTTATTATATTTAAGAACATTTTTATATTATAGGCTAAAAACAAAATATTTTTTAAATCGAGAATTAAAAATAAAATAAGTCATAATTGAGAATCAAGAGCAGAATAAACTTGTAAATGCCAAAAAAAAAAAAAAAAAAAAAAAATCTTGGAAACCCCACTAGGTAAAGCTTTTATACAATGGATTGAGCTCTATTTAATTTTATTTATTTTTTAAGTACAAAAACTGCGAGAAGAAAAGGAGTTTCATAATAATGGCCAAATATCTGACTCCTTCCTTCAGCCTCTTAGATTTTGTACCTCTCCCATGGGAAAACCACAGTTGTCAGTTGGAATTCAATACCTATAACCTACTTCACACTGGACTAATTAAGGTTAATAAAGTCTCTTTTTCCACAATATAAACACTCCATTCTTGAAATTAATCTGATTACAACTATAAGTTAAAGTCTCTTTTTCCACAATATAAACACTCCATTCTTGAAATTAATCTGATTACAAGTATAAGTAATATACATTTTGAATTGGAAACACTAATAAAAGAAAATTTTACGTATAAATTAAACATCAAAAAATTTCACGAAAATGACAATATATAGTTTTTCACTGATATGTTGTATATGACTGATCAATTATTTCTTCGCATGCAGGTAGGTTACTTACAGGTCAAATTATTAAGCAGTTTTAATTTTATTAGTTTAACAACAACTAAGGAAGATAATATATATATATATATATATATATATATATATATATAATTGGGGTATCCATGTGCATTATCTGCAAGATGAACAGGGAGGGAATGGCAACAATTAATGCAAAGTAAAGAATCCACCAAAACACACAAACATCAAACTGCAATTTGGCAGAGATTCCTCAAATTGCCATATCCCATTTTTGCACACAAATTTTCAAATTCTCTAAACACACTAACTAAATTCATTAACTCAAAAGGAATGTTATGGAATGTTTACCAAAGAAGCCCTACTCTCACTCATATCTATACATGTTGTTACATAGCTATCAAGCCCAGGCCGGGCAAGACAGATTCCAAACCTAACACCCACCCCTACTCCTACCCCTCCACCCATCCCCAGTAAATCATTTTGGTATGATTCATTCCTTCTGCAAATCTTGGGCACTTTCCCCACCATTTCTAATTCCATTGTGCCTTCTTTTTCACTTCATATTTTCTGGAAAGACATGCCCATCCATCCCAGACCGCAGCACCCCTTTCCTTGAAGTGGACATCTCATCTTCTTGGTTTAAGTGGTCAAATTTGAGCCATCCCTTTCACAATAATACTATCCTCTACCTTGCTCTCTTAGTGGAAACTGGAAATTATATCTACCTCTTCACAAGTCAGAACCACTTAATTCAAATTTCTTTAAAAATTCAGTAAATTTGGATTTTTTTTATAACGAGAAAAATCTGCAGCAACTACGTGATATTGTGTATAGGGTAAATTTTTTTAACTTTTAACCCTTGATTTAATAGGATAATAACACATTATGAGTGTCACCGTACCACTTTTAGCCATCGGAGTTGTCAAAGTGGCACTTTTTATTTTTATGTTAACGGATTTATCAAAAAAATTTGTTACTCTTCAAAAAAATTAATCGAGATTTTGAAATAATTTTACATTTCATTTCTTCTTTTCTACTAAATAATATTCCCAGTTCAAATTTATTCCCTTGTTTTGGGAATTAGCAATCTAATTATTAATTACATATATACTCTCTAGCTACCATATGGTTGTTGTCATTTTATGTTTAAATGTTGACAATTTTGCACTATGTTACAAGATAATACTCTGATCTATGCATGCTTGGGTGTTGGGTGGACATTTTGTACATATTGGGTTAGCTAAGCTCCATGCACTTTAATTTCCACAAATTGGAACTATTAGAAAATAATAATTATATTTTTAAAAAATAACACTATTCTCATCATCAGGTACAATTATAATAACACTAAGTCTATAATGTACTATTAAACTGGATTTGGTGCATCCACAATGCTACAAAATCCATACACCTAACACATACAGCAATGCTTGTCCTTTTATGTGCTAACAGCACATAGGAATAGTTTATATTAGTTCAAAAACAAGGAGAATAGGATAGAGATAAAATCGTTGTGTGAAAACTTTACACATCAATAAAAATTACTATGATCATATTACCCGAGAAGTGATTGCTTTGATTTACAAGAACTCAAAATTAAAGTGCGTTATGAGTAAAACACACATTGTAACCATAGCCGACAAAGGGTCACAAAGAGGTAAATTAGCCTAAGTTGTCCATATCAATAGCCCAATAGATAATTAAACTACTACTGAAAGTTAAACTTAAAACATTGTGGTTATCAGATCAACTCAGTGGTTTTTCATGTTTCTTGAACAAGAATATTGTTATGAAATTTCAAGTGCATCAATTTCAAAAAAATTCAAAAGTTGGTACGTAAAATCAACAAAAGAGACAAAATGCAAAAATTCAACCTCCACCCCTCCATATATATTGAAATATCAATTTTAAAAAGTTGTAACAGTAGTGTCATACACAAAAGTGAAAAACCTTTATAGAACCATCCATGGGCCTTTTTGTCACCTTTTGCTCCTCTCTGATCTCTCCCTCTCTCAAAAGAATTACAAAAAAAAAATCTGCCCATTTTTTAAATATGATATGATAATTCAGTCTCCTCATTCTACCAACTATCTGAACATTTCCAGATAACTCCCTGCCACATTGGGAAAAAAAAATTAACTGCTAAATTTCAAATTCATAATAATAATGTATCCAGCAATGGTTCTCTGAATATAATGATTTTTTAAATTTGGTCATCGTTTTTTAATTTGGATGAATTAAACCCTTGATTATCAAAATCGTTACACCATTAGTCTTTCCGTGAATTTACTGTTAGTTAGATGTTAAGAGCAGGAGTAAAAGTTGCAAATAATGGATTTGTGTCTGTGTACAGTGTACAGTTATTTTGAACAGTAATTTTGTTAACTACAAAGGACAGAATATAATACAGATGACCATCCAATAATTACCCTTACTAGGTAAAACATGCAAACACCACAATTTAGGTAAAAATAAATAAATAAATAATAAAAGTGAAGGGAACAGAAATTTGACTGATGAGCAATCTAGGATTAAAGTAAATACTTGGCTGCTTAGATACAGTCTAGTTGAAGACAAGAGATAAAGATACAATACATTAATGAAGATACATGGTCAAAAAGAAAAAGAAAAAAAGTCAAGACTACACTGCTACTCTTTTTTCCTTTTTCTTTTCTTGATACCTAGTAGCATCACAACAACATTAATTAATAAGCACAAGAAAACAAGCTATGTTTTCTTGTTTTTTTTTTTTTTTTTTTTTTTTTTTTTTTTTTTTTTTTTTTTTTTGGGTTTTTTCAGGGGCAGTAATTAGAGAACAAAGCTTCACAAATCTCAGTGAAGACCTGAATGATGACCCCATGATGATGATGTGAGTTTAAAGAGAGAAAACAGTCCAAAAGCTTCTCCAAATCCTTGGCTCCGAATATCTGTTTCTCCATTATCATCTCCAACATTGATGCCCTGAAATCTGCGCACGGGTCTCGAGACCGCTTCACCACCGCCAAGCTGTCCTTCATCCCCTCCTCCGCGCCTCTTCTCTTCCGCGCCGCCCTCCGTCGCCGCCGCCTGATCCGCTCCGCCCTCCGCCGCCGGAACGTCTCGGAAGAGTCGGACGAGAATGAGAACGACACTGACGAGAAAAGAGTGGCCCTATCGTCGTCTTCGTCGTCTTCATCTTCCGTTTCCTCGTCGCTGCTGAACAAACCTTTGTATCCGAAAGCGTGGAAGTCGTCGAAGTCCAACCGTCTGATGTGGGCGCGTGTCGTTTTCTTCTTCTTCTTCTTCCGGGGAGCTATTTTGTGCTTACTGGGAGAGGCAGCGCTAGCCGGCGGGAAAAGAGGGGAGCTTTGGTCGGAGATTTTGGCTCTTGGGAACAAAATGCGATGATCAACCTCTGCGGCGGCGGGGAGTTTGGGGCGGCAAATGGAAGGAAAAGGGCGAGGTTTTGGAGGGAAAAGGTCGGAGAACAACTGGGGATTCTGAGGATGAAAAACAGGCTTGTCGTCAATGACGTCGGTGATGTTCTTGGTCTTGCATGAGCCGAAGGAGGATCGAAAGATTCGAGTGATCTTGTGTTTGATATGGTTCTCCATTGAAGACAACATTTTGAGGGATCGGAGCTTTGAAGAAGAAGAAGAAAGTGTGGTTTGGACGTAGTATAGTTACGTGTCGTTTGGGAGGCGGTATATTCTTTATATATATAGAAAAAGGGTGGACGTGCGGGTGGGTGGGGAGTTAGTCTGCCCTAACCTTTATATCCAATGAGTTGACCATCATACCCACAACAATACATAACTAAACAATCATAAATCAAAACAAAAAGTATCAAATTCACTCCCTAAATTTAACAAATAATGTAAATGGCTCTCTCAATTAAATAAAATAAAAATTCTAGTAAAGTACCATAAATAAATCGCAAAATAGTACTGCGATAGGCTAACAAGGTTCTAATATTACATATTTGAGTTCTACTATACGTGTCCTCTCATGGCGGAGATCTTAGCATGCAAAGAAGCGTTATCATGCCTGATCGAGGGATTACATGATAACTCCTATTCAACTGCAGATCGACTGTTCTTCTTTACATCACAATTTAACCGTTCTTATAGCCGAGCTCCCGTCATACGTTTGACATTGCTACTAGTGATTGTAGGAATATCATGCGTTCCTTTTTTTTTTTTTTTTTTTTTTTTTTTTTACACTGTGCTATTGGTTCCTAGATCGAAGTACCAATGTGCTAGCTCACACTTTAGTTACAGTGGCATATTCTCAAGCTAACACGTTGTATTGGGACTTTGTTCCCCTGACTTTGTCTCAGTTCTTATGCAGTAATTTACTTCCAATTTTGCTTTCAAAAGAAATATAGATTTTTTTTAGTAGAGTGCCTAAAATGAAATATTAAATATGTGTTAATAGCATATTGTTGGATTTTCTTCACGCGACGTCAAGAATTTGAACGTGTAGAGAAAAATATTATATCATTTTTGAACATATATTTATGTTCAACTTTTCTACTTCAACTTAATCATTAGTCAAGTGAATTACCTTCATTCATTTATCTTTTTTAGAAAAATTGTTTTTTTTTTTGTTTAAATTAACTTTATGTATTATATTAGTATTTTCTTATGCGCGATGCGCAAAAATTAGGTGCCCAATATTATCATTACTGAAAATTATGGAATTTCCGACCACCTGAAAATGATCTTAAATCAAGTTAAAAGCCTTGTTCCGACCACTTTTGGTATCCGGAAAAACCTTTGTTGCTATTTCCGACCACTTTTTGGACTTTTTGATATCAACTTAATTTAAGATCATTTTCAAGTGGTCGGAAATTCTATAATTTCCAGTAGTGTATTATTTTATATTAAGATTTTTGATATTTAAATTAATAATAATAATAATAATGTAAACATTTTTATACATTTGATATTTATATTGTATAAAAATAACTCCAAATTATAATCTTACTCTATATAATAGCAAAATGTTTTTGCTATGTCATTTTCCCACCTAAATATTCAGCTGTTTTAGGAATCTGAGTTATAAAGCCAATAGATACTAATATTGCGTCCATATGTGTATTACTAATTTTTTTGATAGCCATTAGATTACTAATATTGCGTCTTTCCATATGTGTATTACTGTTTCTTTTATTATTATTAGCAGTATGTTAGGTCTTTCCATTATATTACTAATTTTTTTATTATTACTCAAATGAAATTAATAACGTTGCATTAATGGAGAGGCATACTTGCTACTCAAAAAATTATTATAAGTATGCACTAATCCAGTAGTGTTCTTCACCAACGTAACTTTCTGAGGAAACACTCTGCAAAAAAAAAAAAAAAAAAAAAAACTGCGAAAATGGCTTCTCAACACATTCTTGCATCTCAAGTTAGTCCTATGCACACCCGGAGAGCTATCCGGGTGCGCTTGGTGAGAACCTATGAAGTCCCTCAATTACGTGGGGGAGCAGCGGCCAGCAAGAGCAAGGAATTACTCTTCCATGATCAAGAGGTAAGTTTAATACGGTAATTTATATTAAAATATTCAACCTGTTTTTTAATTTTTGCATTTTTATTGGTGTTATATAGGGGACCTACATCCATGAAACTATTTCCAGAGAAGATGTTGCTAAGTATCGCACTGTGTTCATTGAGGGAAAAGTATATTCCATCAAGAACTTTTTAGTAGTGACCAACTACTACACCTACAAAACATCTACCCACAAATACCTTATAAAGTTCAATTACTCTTACCATAGTTAAGGAATGTAAAAGCAACAACTTTCCTTATTTCATGTTTCGATTAAAGTCTTTTGAGTCATTGATGGATGCAACAGATCTAAATGACAAGGAGTTATTTGGTATATCCCTCTTTTGTGTTATCAATTTTTTTTTGTTAATTTTAAAATTTTTATTATTCAATGTTTGGTTTCATACTTTAATTCAATGTTTTTCTATGTTAAACTAGACATAATAGGCCGTGTTGTTGAGATTCATTCATCGGTGGAGAAGCTAATTGCCGGTAAACAATCCCGCCTTATGGATTTTTTAATAGAGGACACAGAGTAAGTACTAACCTAAAATCATACCACTGCTATTGACTAATACAAATTCCTAATTCAATTATAATTTCTCTATTAAAGTATTATTATTTTGTAATTAATGTTCAATCTCGACCTATTAGGGACAGTCAACTAAAGTGCACAATCTTGGACGATCATGTGGAAGCAATGATCCCATATTTTAATACAACCCAAGAAGATCCCATAATTGTCTTGATACAACTGTGTAGGTCTAAAATTGTCAATGTTAAGTTTGTTCACATAAACTGTTGTTATTTTATTTTAATTTAAATTCTAATACAAATCTATGTTCATTTATGGCGAGGTGAGAATTACAAGCTCCTACGATGCAATTAAACCGTGATTTAATCACATTTGTCTAGAAATTACAGAATTTAAGGCCAAGTATGAAAAACATGTATTATTTATGTACAAGTCAAAACTATCAGTTATGCCCATATCTGTTATAAAAAAAATAAAAAATAAAAAATAAAAAAAACATATCTGTGGGTAGAAAGTAGTCCAAGGGGGTTAAAAGTCTTGATTTGTGGGGAGAATGGAGAGTTTGTCTGTACGACCAAAAATGTCCTATATAAAGAAATTTTTAACAATTTGTAATTTATTTATCTATTTGTTATTGAATAATTTATAACTTATAATTTGCTTTCATTTTGTTTATTACTATTATACGACGATAATCATGAATTACTAATAGGCCATATTTAATGACCGTGCACCGCACGGGTAAGTTACTAGTGTATATTGAAGAATATAAGAAAATATATGGTGGATGCATGTGCATAGTAACAATAGTGAAAAAGATAACGGAAGTTATAACGGTAGGGGTATATTAGTCCAAAATATTATAAAGTACAACCTTTATAGCATAATGTACAAAAAAACTTAACGGAAAAAATGTACATAAATGAAATGTATAACCTTCATTCACACTTATTATGTTTTTAGATTTAGATATTACTAATTAATGTTAAATTAATTGATTGAAAACTAAACTATAAATAGTTTGAATAAAAACTAGCCTATCAAACGGAACAAAAAAAAAAAAAAAAAAAAACCTCCATTCATCTCAAAATGTATGCTTGACTCTAATAATTTAGTATTCACTTAAAAAAAAAATTAAGTTAATTGTTAATTGATGAAATTTATATATAGCACAATTATCTTAAAAACTCACCAAGGAGTGCATTTGCTGGCCTTGAGGAAACCTAAGGAAAAAAAAAAAAAAAAAAAAAAAAAACCTCTATTAAATACCCAAAAAAAAAAATTAAATTAAAATTTGTTAAGAAAAATAAGTGATAAAAGAAAAATTAGATTGATGAATAAATAATATACTTTAAAAAATTCTATATAGGGCTAGTCGTCGGTTATGGGATGAGGGTGGCACTCCAATGGTCGTCCTCGGACGGGTTTAACCCACAATCTTGAGACGCATTTTTCTTATTTTTGGAAGTTATAATTTAGGTGATTTGTTATCGTAATTAAAGAGATTACTTATGATTTGTAATTTATAAGAGAGATTTGTTTCTGTAATCAAGGAGATTATTTATCTTTTTCAATTGTACGTCAATTAATTTAGCTGAGTGCCTTCACTAGTCAGAGCAGTATACTGCATACATACCTTGATTCGAAATAGTTGTTACTAAAAGCAACACACAAATTAGTGAATTGCATTGATTTGCGAACAATGGTATGGACCGCACAAATTGTGAAACCAACCCATCTATGCGTAAAGATTTAAAAGGGTTGACAATGGGCATTGGCAAATTTAAACTTTTTTTTATGTTGCTTGTCTTCTTTATTGTCGTGTTTATTGTCTCAATTTGATGAGATGGAGTTAATCTCCATACATATATATATATATATGCATGTGGCATTAGTCAGTCCACCTCAACTCTTAGCCAATTCTACAGTGTAGCCAGTGGGCACACAAAAAAAATTCCCCAATTTTGTGTATATCAAATGCAAATTGGAATTGGAAGTATATCCTAATAAGAATTATATGATTATGACTTGTGAATTCTTGCCTGGTTTCAATCACTTGTTGAACTCGTTTCCCAATCTAGGCAGGACCACTGAGCCACCAGAAGATGATTCTTAAACCAAACCAATTCAAACTCAATTATGTTATTCAACTTTTTTCAAACTACCCTTTAATCTTCTTAGATCCTTCCTCTTTTATTCTGTAAAAGGTTGGATGAGGCTAACTACTATACATCTTATGAGTTAAGGAGCTTATGATATATAGATCTTTAAAATTTCAACTTAAAGTTTTCATCACTATTTGTTAAATAGGTAATTGGTAAATCTATTTGTGTGAAATACTTCTCTTCTTTTTTTTTTAAAATAAAATCTTATATTCTGAATTATGTGGTGTTGAGCGGCGGCTCGGAGAGTTGATTCCAGCATCCTATCATCGAAACATGATGGTGACTGCTAGTTGCTACGCAAGTATAATGAAACAAAGGAAATAAGGTAGTGTCTTCATTACTAGTTATAATTTTTGGATGAGTGATAAGCGTTTGATCCTAACATGTTCGGTGATTTTATCTTATATGAGTTATATCACGCCCTAGAGTCGATGAGTAGTT